AGTGTAAAGCGCTTTGGGGGTCCGGAGGGACTTGAAAAGCGCTCTATAAGTTCAGTACCATTTACCATTTTTACCATTTGGGTTGTTACCGACATCTGGTGAAAATTTCATGTCATTAGCACCTCTAGTAATATATTTACTGAGAAAAATGGTGACATGTTCAAAACTTATTTTACCCGCTGTATATTTCATACAAGTTTTCTTTTCAAGCTGAGAAAAATCTTCTTTTTGAGACATTTTTTTTTCTTGCTATGGGAAGAGAACTGACTCTATTCCCCTGACTGTATGGAGAGAAATAAGGGTATGAAATGGCACCGACTGTCAGTAACCTTCTATATACATCCGACCATCTGAAGCGTCTCAGGTGATAGGTGTTGGGGGAGGATGGATGGGGTTCCTGTCAACATTGCATGGTTTTTATCAGCCTGTGCTCTGACACTGCTTTCACTTTGTGTGATGCTCACAGAGCCATGGCAAGTGTGGCGTAAAAAGTTTCTCCATTACAATATTATCATTCATCCGCACATTTGCAGGAGGATTATAAATGCCTTTTCAGCCTAAGTCAGGCAATATTGAACTTCGTTTTTCAAAAGACCAAAACTGCAAATAGTTTGGTTCATCTCTCAATACTTCCTGACTTCAGAACCTCAAATGCTTACAAACAGATTTATTACTGCAGTCTTTTAGCAGCTATATTTAAAGCACAGCTGAGGTAAAACTGCATTTATCTCACTGGAGTGAGTTCAAAACCATATAGCAATCATAAAAAAACAAAAACAGAACAATACCGTAAAAAACATCCCTTAAGGCATTGAGTTTTATTTAAATTGTTTGGGTTAAAAATTATTACATAAAAACACCTGCAGTATAAAACTTTTAATGTCTGACTTTAAAATATAAAAGGGGTAAATGAATAAATAAAATATAGATATAAACAGAATGCCATACAGTCCAAAGAAATCCAACTTAAACCTTGAAATTTGTTGTACATGTAGCTTTAAAACAAGTACTAGGGCCATAAATAAGGATTTACAAGTTTACTTTTGTATTAATATATTTTGTTTTTCATTTTTGCTACTAGCAGTACGTTAGGTAAACAAAAGCTTATGTTGACATTGTTGTGGAATTCAGATTTTATTTTTAAAGTGCTACTTCCTGTTTAACCTTGATATGTTTAAGAAAAAAGAGACTGAGAAAGATTACAGAAGCATGGATCTATAGTTTTTTGACTGTGCTAGCTGTGTATTACTGGAAATAATACGGAAATGTAGAAAATGAATATTTATTTTCTTTGTTTCTTTTTGTTTTTTTATTGTATTTTTGCTTGTGGGCATTTTTTCAGATAAAGGATTTTAAGTTTTACACTGTCTTGAACAAGTCCATTACTTTTCCAAGAGTGCTTCAAGAAGATAATAGATCTGTTGCCATAGCAAGCACTATTTGAAGTGTATAAAATTTTACAAAGAGTTAATTTAAGAATTAATTTATTCATTATTGCATTGAAGCTATTTTAAATTAGAGTTTGTGGGATTGACTAAAATCTTCTGTTAATTTTTTATTAAAAATGCACAAATATCAACAAGAAAATAAGACTTTTTATCAGGCTTATTTCTTAATATCGCTGTGATGTGAGGGCTCCCACTACTTCACTATATTAAGCATCCCTGACTTGGCACAACAGACAGTTTATTGGAACAATCAATTGTGTTTTTAAAAGATTTATGGAAAACAAAAGTAAAAAGAAAATCAGATTCATGCACTTCATAAACACTCACATGCTTCGTGCTCCAAGAAAATTTGCATGGGCAGCACACAAGCTGTTTATAAATCATAAAAAGAAATGACAGTGGATGATATAAAAACTGAAAATGGGACTTCAGAAAAGACGTAGCGGCCAAATGCAGAAGTTATTCCCACCAGCTGTGGTTGGAGGGGCTGGATAATGAAAAGTGATCATATTCAGCACGGAGAATGAGGCTGAGCAGGAGCATCAGAAATGAGTGTGAACGTTCAAAATTGGATATTAAACTTTTCAAACTTCTCTTTGAGGAATGATTTCAGCTTTTTTTCGCTGCAGGATAAGGTTTTTTATAAACTAGATTTTTATTTATTTATTTATTTATTTTTTACTTTTCCATCACTTAGCCTTCTATCAGTGCAGCACGCTCTCATATCCACACAGGCAAGCACGTTTTTTTTTTTTTATCACAGAGCAGAAACAACCATATGACATCATGATGACATGTTGCAATAAGAAGCTGTGGTTTTAATGTCAAAGAGTGGAATTAGTGACTCCCACCTGTCTGCTTCTAGAAGAGTTAAATCTGTGTGGGAACATCTATCCATTCATCCATTATCTATACCCGCTTCTTCCTTTTAGGGTCACGGGGGGTCACTGGTGCCCATATCCAGCATCCACTGTTCGAGGGACAGGGTACACCCTGGACAGGTCACAAGTACATTACAAGTGTAGGAACATACCGTGACTATAATAGATTTATCAGCTAAACCTCAAAAGGTCAACTTGTCAATTTCTCTGAATGAAGTTAAATGTTACAAAGTTTGTGGAACTTTTCAAACTCCTAAAAGTTAAAGTGCTTTTAAAACATTGAAGGTTTGGTCCTTGAACCAAAGTAAATTGAGTTTAAAGTTTTCATTATCCAGCCCCCTCCAACCAGCAATTTTTTTGGTTCGTTTGTTTGCTGTTTTTTTTTATAATATGAAGTTATTTTTTAAGAGTCTGAGATTTTTTTTATATAAATGATCTTCTAGATACAGAATGACAATTTATTTTTAACAGAGTAAAAGCAATCGAAGTTTGATTTGAAAAACTGATAGCTCCTGAACAAAAGGAAAAGAGGAACATTAAGGAGTAGCCAGCGATGCCTTTTTTGCAATTTACTTTGTGGGTTTATCAAAGGAGAAGAAATTATTTGATGAAAAATGTAATGTGTGTAGCTTAAATGAAATTCAGCGGTGAAGGCCAAACTTCAATATTTCATTCCTAAAATGTTTTTGAAGCAGGACTTTTTTTCAAGGACCAAAAGTGTTTTTTAACAGATTTTTTTAATAATAAAATGGCCTTGTGCTTATAAGACCAAATAAAATTTTTAGAACCAGCAAATTACCATTTTTGAATTAATGCTGACTGCGGTATTATTGCATTTTAATCTGTGAGAAAACTGCACAGTGGGATGTCAGCTAAGAATTTTCACACTCAAACGCTGAGGATGCAATAAGTTACACTTAGAGTAAAAAAATTTTTTAGAAACAGTACAGAATTTTATAATGAAACTAGCTTTCCTTAAAGAATTGCTTATTGTTTCTTGCTTTGCATACAAACGTTTTAACCAAAGATCTTGAGCAATTCTCAAAGCATGCGTTAGAATGACTCTCACCTACTACCACACCAAAGTTTAGCACAAAATCTGTAAAATTCATTGAGTTATAACCGTTTTTGTGTTTGCTGAGGTCACTTGGCTGCAGCAGCCATTTTGAAATAGGTTGTAGACGTACATTCAGTGATTATTTTCTGATCGTTTCATTCACTGTATATAAATGTGTTTGATCAACCGTTATAATGCATCAGCCACCTAAACCAAAAAGAATAATGCAATTTTTTTTTCTGTGTCTCAGTTGTCACCGGGTTCAGAGGAAGATGAACACGAGGGTCCGGTGCTTGAAAAACTGGGCCGAATCCAGTTCAGTGTCGGCTACATTTTTCAAGACTCCACCCTCACCGTCAAAATTCTGAAAGGCCAGGATTTACCTGCGAAGGATTTCTCTGGTACCTCTGATCCATTCGTCAAAATTTATCTGCTGCCAGACAAGAAGCACAAGCTGGAGACCAAAGTCAAGAGGAAGAATCTAAACCCTCACTGGAACGAGACCTTTTTATTTGAAGGTACGACGGAGAAGCCTTCACACACGTTGCGGTTGTGTTGCGTGTGACTTGTTGTACCGTGTGCACGTGTCTCCCTCAGGGTTTCCGTATGAGAAGGTGGTCCAGAGGACTCTGTACCTGCAGGTTCTTGACTACGACCGGTTCAGCAGGAACGACCCAATAGGAGAGGTGTCCATCCCCCTCAACAAACTGGACCTGGCCAACATGCAGACTTTCTGGAAGGAGCTGAAACCGTGTAGCGATGGCAGTGTAAGTAAGCAGGGGAGGGGGGGGAGGAAAGGGGGGCGGGGTGAAGATGTGGGGGGAAAGAGAAGATGGGACAGAATAGGTGATGTCATTTCTGGCTGCTGCGATGCTCTCAGGGGAGATGTGGCAGCATGATGATGATGATGATGATGATGGGAGAGGGGGAGGGAGGGAAGTATGGAGAGGCTGACAGGTGGGTGCAGGAAACAGAGACGGCCTGAGAAGGAAACAGTTTGCTGCTAATTTTGAACGGTGTGATTTTTGCAGGGGAGTCGAGGGGACCTCCTGGTGTCCCTGTGCTACAATCCCACAGCCAACACCATCACTGTGAGCATCATCAAAGCACGCAACCTCAAAGCCATGGACATTGGAGGCACTTCTGGTATGAATGTCTCTTTGTCTTTTACGTCTTCTGAATTACTGTCTCCAAGTGAAAATGTGATTTTTGTTCTTGTTGTAAAATTCATGAATCTACACACGCTACATAAAAGCTGATCCATCCCCCCCCCCCCCTTTTCCTCAGACCCCTATGTAAAAGTGTGGTTGATGCACAAGGACAAACGTGTGGAGAAGAAGAAGACGGTGGTAATGAAACGTTGTCTGAACCCTGTTTTCAACGAGTCCTTCCCCTTTGACGTGCCTGCCCACGTGTTGCGGGAGACCACCATAATTATCACCGTCATGGACAAGGACAGGCTCAGTCGCAATGATGTCATTGGAAAGGTATCTCCTTCCTTTTCTTCTACGCCTCTTCCTGCCTTTTCTTATCCTCCTCTGTGCTTCTGTGACTCCACACAGACTATTTGCATCTGATAAATGAACCAGTCTCTACTGACCCCTACTGGAACACAAAGATCTACGTCCTGCACTAACTAGTGTAATGCACATTTCTTTTAAAGCTGGAATCAGATGCCTAATTTAGATATTTACCTATGGAACCATGTGTTTTATTTGTCAACCTTTATATGACTAAGTTTCACAAATTAATATAATTTTGAAAAGGTCAAACATTTTCAGAAAGTAAGTGATTCTTAATGTTAAATTTTCTTTTTTGTTGTTGTTTTATATAAAAGCACTCAATTTGTAGTATAAGAAGGTATAAACAAAAGTAAAATGACCTTTGTCACATCTACACTGGTTGTTTAACTTAAACTGTAATTATAACATTAAAATGTGAATTTTACACAACATGTAGAAAACACAAAAACTAAACTTTAATTTGGCTGCTTTAAGCAGCGTAATAATAAACGGTATTTGACGATGACGGCTGTTCACACCTATAATTGGAGGTGTTGCATATCCTATAACTACATGCATTATCCACCTACATCCAGCAATTATAATATGCTGCCTGATTTATCACACTCAATTATACGCTTTCACAACTTAAGTCTCGTCTAAAGACTGTATATGATCATCAGTTGTGACAGCTGCAGATTTTTAGAGGAGCCAATTGGAAAGGCAGGCGTTAAAGAAAAAGAATTGTATTCACACCAGCCCTGTTTAGTCCGCTTTAATTGAACTATAATTTGTTTGCCAAGAAAGTCTGGTTTGTTTGGGGAGGTGTGAATGCTTAATCAAACTCTGAAGTGGACCAAAGAAAGCAAACTCTAATCCGCCTGAAAACCTCTTGGTTTGGTTGAAGTGAATTCTGGTGCAGTTTGATTGCATGTGTGAACGCCAAGCAGACCGGTGACTGCTCTAAAAGCAGGAAGTGGACTATAACGCAGGGTATTCTGAGTAATAACAGTAAMAAAATTACTCATATCTTGTAAATACCTCGCTCTGTCTATAAGGTGACCATCATGGCTGTGAAGTTTGATGCGACTCGGTGAAAGCCGTGTCATACGGAGCCGTCGCAGTCGCCTTGTGTGAATTCTCCGCGGTTCTGTCTCATCTTCCTCATTTGTTGAAGTGTTTGTTTGAAACATTTACCAAAATCAAAAAAAGAATTCCAACAACTGCTAAAATATGACTTCTCTCCATGTTTGTTTACATTTTGTGAAGAAGGAAGCTGCGCTCAGTGTCTTCTTCACAGGTTTTTGTGTCGATTCCTTCAGTGGTTCTTGGTGCAGCGCCACCACTGGCGGGGTTGGGGGGGACAGGTTGTTCACAGGGTTTAGTTGGTTTGACACAGTGCTGTGTGAATCTGAACCACACCAAATGACAATGTAAACAAATCTTGCAGTTTTGTTCCCCAATCGAACCGTCTACCGGACCATCAGGTGTGAATACAGCATGGTGTATTATTTCTTTACTCAGATGTCTCTAAAAAATAAAACTCACATCGTTCCTTATGTGATACTGAGTTGACTTTTTGTTCCTCACAGATTTATCTTTCATGGAAGAGTGGCCCTGCAGAGGTAAAACACTGGAAGGACATGATAAGTCATCCCCGAACCTCTGTGGCCCAGTGGCACTCTCTCAAAGCCTAAAGTGGCCCAGCAGCAAAACTGCCCAAAGTGTCCCCCTCCCCCTTTCCTCCCAGAAGTCAGCATCAGCCTCTCAGCCCCTGCCCTCGGCACACACCCCCTCCTCCCTGAACGCAGCGATGAGCTGCGGACCATGTGTCATCTCTTTGTTCTCAGGCCGCTTTGATATTTCCCCGTCCCTCACTCCTCATGAATCCACCCTTCGATCTCACCTCACTGTCGAGTTCTGATCTCATCTTGACTCTTTCATATCTATTTGTCTGAACCTAAAAACCCTCTTTGATGTCTTCACCTCCTTGTGCCCCCCTTTCTATTATATTTTCAAGATAGCCCTCAATCTGTCTCTCATTGTTTCAGCCGCTCCTGCAGTCTAACATCAGCGCAGTACCTCTTGCTGCCCATGAATACAAACTACCAACCAAAAATTGAACAAACTGATAGTCAYCACATCATCTGTGGCAGCAAGATGGACTCTGTTCAAGCGTGAGTGTGGATGTCGCTGACCTGTGGGACCCCGTGTTTCACCCACGTGTCTGATGTTGCAATACGGAGCCTCCCACTCTGCTCCCTCCATCTCCACCGATCCTCCGCACCAATAAAATGCCTGAAAAATCAGGAAATCAACACAGGTAATGAAAAAGCGATGCACTGATTTCATAACCGTCTGGAAGTCAACTCTTTTGTTTAATTTCTGTTTCATTTTTTTCTTTTTTTATTATTATTATTATTTTTCACATTTTGCTCCCATCACTGTAATAATAATTCTCCCTTTGGCTGGAACCCTTTGTCGTCTGTGCGTGATGTGGGTGACGTGCTGTAATCTCAAATGATGTTAACAAAAAAGAACAAAAAAAGTGGGGTGGGGGGGTGGTATGAACAAGTGTCATTTTTTTTCTTTTGAAAGAGAAATCCTAATAGATTAAAAGAAAAGATAAAAAGGAAAAATGTTTTAGTCCTTTTTTTTCTGCTTAAAGATTCAACTTGTTCTTCCAAAAGAAAAAAATCTGCTTCCTTTGGTGTGGGTTTATTGTGTGTAAATGTGGGGAGATATTTTTAAGAACTGCACTGCTAAATTAATAATATAGTGAAAATAATATAATAATAATCACCCTTTCTTAATGATGATGGAAGTTGATCAAATTAAAGTCAGTCCACTCAAATTAAAGTTCTGCATCAGAACTTTGTAATGTTTTTCTTGTAGTTTAAACCAAAAGCAGTCAGCTGTATTTGTCATAGATTTGATTTACGGATATTTCCTGTCCCATACAACATATTGCTGTGCAATATTAGCTGTGCGAACAGAATCCTTAATCAAGTTTTACAACAGATTAATGTTTTTAGATAGTTGATTTAAAAGCATAAAGTTGATTTTTTTTATATAATTATTTTTTGGGGATGAATAAAAAAGTGCTGCATCATGTCAAACACGATCAAGAACAAAAATGAAGAATGATAAAACAATTTAAATGATCCCACCTAAATGGATTCAAATCCAAATTTTATTCCAAAAAATCCAATAATTTAACCTGTAACATCATTCAACAGTTCTATCTTAATGTCATTTAATAAAAAGTATGGGCTTAATTAAAACACTAGTGATTTTTTTTTAATAGAGAGTGATGAAAAATCATCAAAGATGTGCAATAAAGGTCCAAAGAAAACAACTCAAATCCTAAAATGTTGAAATAAGAAAATTCTTCTCACAATGAACCAACTCCAAGCTTCATTTCTAACCTGCCTTCAGTGCTCCTAAGGACACTCTGCAAGGAAATGTTCTGTTTGAGGCTTGCAAGTCAGCTGCATATGTTTAGTCCTGCAATCTGGGTTCAGAGACTGTTRGTCCTGCACATGCAAAWTATCTGTGTCTTGCACTGTACATCCACAGCAGTGCAGTCTTTGCAGATCTTGCTATTATCTGTTATAAAGTGTTGTCATGCTGCCAATTTAAAAATAAAAAGATAAAATATATTTTTACTTTTTTGGCTTAAAATAAAACTTAACCTAAAATTTCTGTTCTTGTTTTTTAATTTTTTTAATCAAGGTAATTAGGCATTCAGCTCCTAATTTACACACATTGATGATGCATGAAGACTCCCCCATATCAACAAGGACAAAAACACTATAAATAAGACAAAGAATGCTCTATTAAAAGTTTTTTTTAATTGTCTGAATGTAGCGTCACTTTGTGATAGTTGGAAACTGAACCCTTTGACGTCTGCAGAGCTGAACAGATTCTGTGTGATCAAACTGCTCAGGATAATAATAATAAAATGCAGTCTTAAAAATAAAAAAATAAACCTTAGAACCTATTTTGCATAACCTTCTTTTCAACGTTAGGGAGTTACTTTTGTAATTTGGGTGAACTGACAATTTAGAAAGTGGTAAATTTCAAGAAAGTGAATAAAAAAATACATGTAGATTATTTAAATGAATTAAAACTGCCCTGCAAATAATTGCACAAAACTGTGCCTTAAAGCACAGAATTCTGCAATGAARGCTTCAAACGTGAAGCTGAGTTTATGAAGGGATTTGAGTTCAGAGGAGTTTGCTTTACTGCCTGAGTGTAACCTCCATCAAGTCCATTATGAGTATGTATTGATAAAACTGAATGGAAATGAATGAGAGTAATGGTYTTTGTGGGGAAGAGAGTACTTTCACATTCCGCTGTATGTTTTATGTCTATGGATGTGTGTTTGCGCTGTGTGTGAGTGTCAATATTTGGACTTTACTTTGTGTGATTGTATTTGCTGTGGGTCCTTCTCTGTACATCTGCACTAAGAATTTATTTGACAGTTCAACACAGATCAGCATTGGTTGTTGGTCTTTTTTGTTAGTTTTTTTCATGTATGAATTTAAATGTACAAAGAATTATTATCTTTTTGTTGTTGTTTTTAAGATTGTCATTTTTTTGTAAGACTTACTGCACTTTTCGACAACAATGCTGGAACAAACCTCTCTTTACAGCTGGATTATTTTTGTTTGTGTGTGGTTTGGCTTGAGAAGTAACTCTTTCCCTCTTTACACATGGGCTAAGGACATAACTTGCGGGGGGGGGGGGGGGGACGGGTCAAGCTTAAAGGGATAATTCAGATCTTTTGGAGTGAAGTTCTGTTGGAAACTTGTGAATGGTATACCTTTGAAAAACCAAGTTCTGTAGAAGCTGTTACCAGCTTAACAACCTGAGATCAAAGTGAGTCACTGTCATCTTAAAAATCATAGCAGTTTATCCATCAATCCATTTTTTTAACCTGATTTTTTGTCACAGGAATGGTGCCGACCTTCCGGAGGTAAAGTGCTTTAATCAAATCGAATGCCTGTCGAGGCAGATGGCTGCCTGTCCTGAGCCTGGTTCTGCTGGAGGTTTCTTCCTGTTAAAAGGGAGTTTTTCCTTTCCACTGTCACCAATGTGCTGCTCAGGATGGGAGACTGTGATGAAGTGATTCAACACAGTCTTGGATTATTTATTTATTTATTTTTATTGAATGGAATGGAATACTAATTTCTAAACATTTACACCACTGTTCCAGATAGTTGCTAGTTGCTGCAGCCATTAGCTCACAAACAACCACAGATCTCAATGTAACTACCGATGTTGTGAAAATTTGATGTCGATGTCAAAATTTCCAATGATAATATTTATCATTCATAAGCATTCCATAAAACCTTGTTTCAAAAGATTTGAACTATGTCTTTGGCATCCCAAGGATCGATCGTGCACCAGAGTTTCAGTTTAGACCACAGCAGCTACCAGCATTTTGTCCTGGATGTCCTACACACCATGTGGTCCYATCTGGCAGAAAAATAAATAAATAATATAAAAATTAAAATAAAAAAAGAAGAGGTGACTCCTTCACATCTTATCGGTGCTGCCTCAAAACAACCCACCATCGTGCACACATGCTTCCTGGCACAAAGCGTTCTGAGTGAGTCTTAACCCTGCCACGCCTAGCTCTCCACCATATGCGCTCCCACTCCAAGTATCAGGAGGGGAGGTGGGGGAGGAGGGGTGGGTTAAAAAAAGAGATCGAGGATAATCATCACCACTTTGCATCACTGTTAGCCCTCAGGTTGGAGCAGAGTTTTGGAGCAACCTAAAATAAGCAGGAGCAGAGTCATCTGTCAGTCCCAGTGGCCCCGCGTGGTGGGATTATTTTTAAATGCTGCTGACAATGCATTACATTCCAAAGGCTTTCTGAAAGTCATTTTAATCAATGCAACTTAAATATAGAAAAAAAAGTCAGGGTTTGGGATATCACCAAAAATAACTGAACTCAAACGAGTCTGTCTGCGTTCTTCACTGGCCAAAAACCACACACTGGTCAAGTTTACTGGACAAGCTGGCATTTCTGTTTTAGGGGCATTCTTTTATGGCACTGCTTGAAACAAAGAGAGGTTAACCAGCAACATTTTAATTTAAAAACTGTAGAAAAACAATTGTGATGTGCCCTGTATGTTAACAAAAGAAAAAAAAAAAGATCAGTATTTGTTGGGGTTGTTGATATCTGTCCGTCGTTGGTATCACGAACCCCCAGATCTCACTCCCTTTTCCTGTTTGTAGTCACACATCCGTGGGGTGCACAATGTTGAATATTAGCTGTTTATTTTTTTTTAAAACTGTACAGTGTATATAAAAATATAAATGTGTATATAAAACAAAAAGTCCTTCTGGTCTGGTATTGTATTTTTCAAAAGCTCCTTTTTAATTGGTCACTCAAGGACATCCTGTTTTATTTAATATAAGAGGAGTGGGAGTCACACAAAGTGAGGGGGTGTAGATTTAGGTTTAAATTTAAATTAAATTAAAATAGAAAATTATTGATTTGCATTATTTTTTCCTCAGGTGGAGAAGATTAGATATTTGAGCGTCTTGTTCATGACAACGGAGATAAATCGATGGATCAGTCTCAGTAATGAGGGTGTTGCTTCGGTCAGTTGCGGTGAAGAGAGAGTTGAGTCTCGATTTAATGGTCCATCTAAGTTCCAACCCTCACTTACAGTCATGAATCAAAGAATGAGATCTTGGAAACAAGCAGTTGAAATGAGGATGTCTGAGCTGAGCCTTAGAGAAAGAGTGAGAGGCTCTGTCATCCTCAGAGTAGAGCCGCAGCTCCTCTGCATCGAAAGGAATCCGTTGAGGTGGTTCGACCAGAACTCGCTGGAGGGATTGTGCATCTTCTCAGGCCTGGAAACACCTTGCAATGGAACTGAAGAGTGTTGCCTTCACGACCCAACAAGCAGATCGACAGTTTGATCAAAAGAAGGGTCCGTATACTACTGGTGGTGCAGGAAGACAAAGACGAGCATGGGGGTGAACTTCCGCTGGAGCAGAGCCGTGGATAAAACAGAGAGTCGTCACGACACAGGAAGCAGCAGTGGAGGATGACAGCGGCTCAGGGCTACAGATAGGCACAGTGGGTGTGCGTGGGAAACTGTAGAATAAATCCTCTAAACAAGCCTCACAGCAAGAAAAAAGAATCCCCACAAATGTTGCTTCCCCTGTTATGTGGGATGTTAAGGAAGTGCATTTTTTATGGCAGCGAATTGTGACAGCCCACTCAGCTATTATAGTTCTGAAAATAATTAACGTTTTTAATCATTAATGAAAGTAGGTTGAAGTGACATGAGCCAAATACAGATTATAGTTCTTTATTTAAATCACCTCTTGAACTTGTTATAAAAATGTAGATTGTATTCAATAATCAATGGTAAATTACGTGTTCTAAAAAAAGATCTTGGCACTCATATTTACCAATAAAAAAGTGTGGGTTTATCAGACTAATAATGTCAAGAAAAAGCAGAAATGTTATACATTTTTATTTTATATTTATTTAATTTTGTTGTAGGACAGTTTAAATAGCGACAGCTCAGTGGTGGGCAAAGTTCTCATAATCTTGAGACAAATGATTCGAGACCAGATTGATTCAGGGAGATGTTTAAACTTATTAAATCTTTAGGGCAAGTTTGCTCACTGTGGCGACCTCTGCAGAAGAATGCAGCTGAAAGGAAGAGCTCACACAATATTGTTTCACCAGGCAAATGTGCTAAAATAGTATTAATTTGGCTTACATACTTAATGTAATTGTAAAACTCTACATTTAAAATACTACACTCAAAAAAAACTGATTGTTGGATATGCTTAATCAAGTTATGTCAACAATTTCCACTCAACAGAGTTGAGTAAATGTAAAATGACTTTCACATTTATTACAAAAAAAAAAAAAAAGAAACATGTAAGTTACCTTACATCTATACTAAACACAGAGTGGAAATTCTTGACATAACTTGATTAAGTAAATCCAACACATCTGCTTTTTGAGTGTACAAATATTAATAAAAAATGTAACAATAAATATTTTTGATAAGTACGTTTAATGTACTTGAAAGATAAAAACAAAGTAAAGATAAAAAAAATACCTTAACTCCTGAACTCGACTAACTCTGTCTAATAGCAGCATTAAAAATAGGGACATTTCAAGTTAATTTTATTAGAAATTAAGGAAATGTAATATGTAAAATCATCATAGCTACAAATTATAGAGCTCATCAACGCAACACAACTGGTTTTTGATTTTGCCAGCTTTATGTTTGTCCTTTCCTAACTACTGCAGAAACATGCGATGCAAACGGCGGCATCAACCGGTGTCGACCCACCCACGTACATTCAAAGAGCTTATTCCAAGGTAAAAATAATCCAACAACTTCTTAATTTTTAATGATAGATTTGTTTTTAATATTTTTTTATCAGTTATCTTAAATGCTGCCAAAAGATACCCATAAATACTGCACACTGTTCTTTTAAGTAAAAGTAATAAAACTGCTCACAATGATGAACGAATGATCGGGAAAGTAAAAGAAAAGTACTAAATGAAGTGTTGAATTGATTTAGTCAAACTGGTTCCACTAAACTGAGTTGTAAATTGTTTTACATCTAAACTCAGTTTAGTGGAACTAGTTGACAACTTAGTAAATTCAACATTTCATCTTTAGTGTATAAACAACTCTTTTCATGATGAGTTCCAGACACATTTAAATGTGTAACATAACTAGGTGCTAAATTTTAAAGTAAAAAAAGTGAAAGTATTATTTTATGTTTTATATGTAATGAAATAAAAAAGTTACAGTTAAGAATATATTTGGTAAAATTACAAATCCTTAAAAAAACTAAATTAGTTACTATATACCTCTGATTTCCACTAGTCCTAACATTACTGGTGAGACAGATGGCAGAGGAGCAAAGGAAACACAGAGGGGAACCCTTCTGACATCATTTTGTTCTATTTTAAGCCGGGCAGAAAAAACAAACAGAAAAATAGCGAAGGAAGGTCATTCTTTAGTTGTTTTAACTCACTTTAAAAAGAGATGATATGAAGTAAATCTTTGTTTTAGCATCTGATGTTGTCTTCCTTGACCACTGTCCATTATGAATCCATTAACACAAGCTGGCTTGTCATCTTGATTTGAAATTCTGCGCACATCTCCTGGCCAGAGGGCATCTCCTTCCTGCAATCAGTACAAGGTTCCACTCAACCGACATGACACAGCCGCACAAGAAATGTTCCCTGTGGTCAATACATGCTGATCCCGTGATGAAGGGGGGAGAAAACACCTTGTCTACAAGGTTTTAATGAGAAAATAATCTAATTTACTTGCTGAGAGAGTGAAACAGCCCAGAAAAGAAATTTTGGCTTTTACATTCATCTAAGCTGAGGTGTATTTTATGTAATATTAAGCAGAGATTCAAAAATTCCTTTCAGCTAGGACTTTCACAAAGCGTGAAAACATTTCCTGGACGTGTCATTAAAATGTATATATATGAGTAAGGTATAGACTATTTAACATTGTATATAAAATGATATACGGAATGCCAGATAATTGTTCCAAAATGGACCATTTGCCACAAGATACCAAGGTGATTTTTTTTTTTTTACAAACAGGCATTCTGCTGCCATCTGGTGTCTGAAATACATACTGCAGGCAGCACAACCTTTATTATGTAACAAGAGCTGTGCTTCCTGTCAGTCATGGCATCCTCCAACCATGTGACCCTCTCACACAGAACATGGTGGAATTGAGTCACAAAAAGAAAATTAGAAATGATTAAATAATTCACACTATAAGCTAATATCTGTATATACATGTTTATCAATAAGCCTCATGATGTCATACTGCTGCAACAGGTTATAAATCATGGTATTCAGGTATTGCTTTGCAAAAAGAATTTATATTTATCAATAAGCATCTTATACACAGTGATAAATCAGACACAATTAAACAAAACTCTATTGTTGAAAAAAATAACAGTTTAAGCTCATTATTCATGAATTTTCCTCTTCTTATAAAGGCCAACTACAACGTTAACATTGTACACTACAATTCCTGGATTATGTGATGAAAATTGATAGAGATTTTTAATGCATTCCCTACAGTTTACACAATGCAACATGTTGCACAGTTTGCATGAATCAACCGTTACAACTTTTTAAAAATTGCTCTGCAGATTTGTATTTACACAATAACCTCTCTTTCAGTGAGTCTTTGACAATGTCCGGTGGGTAAAAAGATCTCATTTGCTTTCTTCTTCCAAGTACTCCAAGCTGGGCGCATCTAACCTCTGTTCATGGTTCTTGTTTTTTGTGAACTCTTTCAGCAAATCCATGATCTCTCCTTGGTAAACGTCAGGGGTGGGCTGAGCTTCTGCAAACAGATAACAGGTCAATTTAGTGACAATGCAATTACAAAAGTGTTTTGAGATAAAAGCAAGTACCCAGAAAAACCTTATCAAATAAATCCTCTCACCTGTGGCCCAGTAGTAGATGTCCCAGTCATTGCTAGGTTCATTAATAAGTCTGTCGTACTGCTGCAACTGGCTGTAAGTCATGGTATTCAGGTATCGCTTTGCAAAAAGGCTGCAAGACAACAGAAAAATGCCCTTTCATTACAAGTGAACTAAGATAAATATTAAATACAATGAGAGTGACCAACAGCATTTTCCAAAGTAAAAGGATATACAAGAAAAGAACCTGAGCAGTATGCAGTTCTCCAACATGCCCCTCTTGCGACTCTCATAAAGAAGCCGACGTCTTTTGATGTCAATAGGCTCATCTGTTTTTTCCTCCCAGGGGGGCAACGGGATCTCGATCATGTCAAACCTGCTGTCATCAGGAGTGTCTCCACGGTATCCACGAGAGGATCCCATCCCTGTGATTGCTGGTCTCCATGCTGCCTGGCACATCCTTGTTACCAGCTGACCAACAAATAAAAGCACATAAGCATATTTTCACGTACTTTTAATAAACGTGACAAGTTAAAAATGCACAATTATCTATTTACATTGTGTTGAAAACCCCTGTTGTTCCAATAGGCTTTGTCAACATTACTGTTTAATTCGGAAAGCTGGTCAAAGAGTTCAGACTGCTGTGTTTATTTTCCTTTATATTAATGTGTATTTAATTAAACTTGACAAGCAAAAACTACTGCTTCTGTGCATTTCTGAGTATTTTTCAACTTGAGGAAAATCTGACAGAAAACGTACCATATGGGATAACGACCAAGCGCTACTACAGCCATAAAAATAAAAACATGAAGGACCTCGTGCTTTCTACATAACGTTAACCTAAGAGTTAAGAGGTTTGACCAGTTTAAAGTCGTAATTTAAGCAATACATACACAAATTATTACTCACCTGCTTCGCAATAATAGACGACAGCATATTATTATTATTTTCTTGTAAAGTTGGTGGACTATTAAACGACCTTTTTAACTGCCGTAAAGAAGTGAGCGTTTTACGTCGCAACGGATCCACGAACGGAATAAATACCGACTGAACACAAACAAATTCGTTGTTGCTGCAACAGAGATGTAAAATCGCACAAAGAAGTTTGTCTTTTTCATTAAATAGTTTTATCGTTTTATGTGTGGAATTATGACGATTTACAATTAAGCGAACCTGATCGGATCAAAACTGCGGAAYCAAGTGTTGGTCTTTGTTCTCGACCGGATAACTATCCCTCACGCACCTCTGTTTTCATTTACTGAAAAATTAGCATTAGCCGATTACGTTGCGAGCATGCTGAACTGTGAATCTGACCGTGTACGAATTTATAGGGAAAATCTACTGCACTATTGAATAAGTTGGATCTTAGTTTTCTTGGTTTTAGGTATTGCTTGGCTACAGTTTTGTTTTTTCTTCCCTTTTTCTTTTTTTCCTTTTTTTTTTTTTTGTAGACCCGATTGGGACCTTAACGGCTAGCTAAGCCAGGCGTTAAAACGTTGCAAAAAATATTCCAGCAAAAGCGGTGCGCTCGTTATCGCTTTGCATCGTTAATTTGCACGTATTGTTTTAGTGCAAACTGAACTGGCTAAAGAAGTGTTGGAAAAAAAGCTTCGGTGCTAACCGTTGAGCATCCGAGGCCCGACGGMATGGCTGCCGCACGACCTGCAGCCGGACCGAGTTCCTCAATTGACCACATGTACGACGACCTTTATGCAAACAATGACGAGGTAAGTCCGCTAATAACACATCTTTTCGATTTTTTAAAAAGTATTATTATTTTAATGCGAGTTTGTAATAAACATTTTCTGTGAAAAGATCAGGTGGCACTTCCGACAGCAGCCTCTGTACTTTGCTCTCAAATACTTTTCATGGTTTTTTTTTTTCACGCGGGAGAAACTCTCCAAGACACCACATTGGACTTCATTTCCCTCATCCATTTTTTTTGGATTTATCTGTCGGTCTTTCCTGAACTTTTGGTCTCAGCACCAGGTTTTTCCGGGATGCAGGAGCGCCCGGACAGAGACATGCTCCCCCACATTCCATATTTATCGTACGAAACCGTGTTCTGCAAGGGAACACGAGGGGAGGCGGAACCTTCTATTTACATATTTAACGTAGACGCAGRCATAAGGAAGACCAGCAGAGGATGAACTTCTGCAGCAGCACATGAAGTTTAGGAGCTGCTCTTAAACTTCTTCTCAGCCATCTGCAACCAAACTAGACAGAAACGGACTGCAGAGAGGATCACTGGTGCAGGACATGTACCCCTGAAGAAAGGAAACACTCTGGATGGTGCTACAGGTTGCAGCTAAACCACAAGACTCAATAACAGTTTATTTCCGCCAGGCTGSCAGTTTTCTGAACAAACATGCCCAGTACCCATTATGCAGTAATTAAACATTCATTCATGCAAATAATAATYTGTCGTCTGRAGGAGTCAACCTTCCTGTTTTTTCACAGTGGTCTGTGTTTATGTCTGATTTATGTGTATGTTTAATATTTACTTCCCTATTTTCATATATATGTTCAGTTATCTGTTAGGGATTTTTGTAATAAGTGAACAATGAATGATCACAATGTTCCCATCATCGACGTGCTTATGCCACAGTTAAAAACAAAATCATTTATGATTTGATTCACTCCTTTTATTCTTTTTGTCGTAAGCTTTTTTTTCTATCGGTAATTGTATTTATTCAAAGAGACTAGAGGATAATCTCTTCCACTCTCCCAGCTAAAGTCCTTGAAAGTAATTTTTACATAAATGTTGTTTGTTGCATTTCAAGAACAATAAGATTGCAAAGAGATAATTTATAACTTTTCTTTCCCCACACAGGATTTGGAGAAAATCGCTGAAGCAAATGAACTGTTTGATGCTGTTCTCACTGGTACGGTTGATCGAGAGAAGGAGACGGCCARGAAAGGACTTTCCTCCAAAGATGGTTCAGCTAAAGAGAAGGAGAAATCAGCTGATGCCATAAAAGAGAAAGCAGAAAAGTCTCAGAGGAAATTGTCTTTATATATTGGAAGTTTCCCCTGGGTAAGTACTACCCTCAGTGTTTAAATAGAACCTGGTAATCTTAAATAAAAAGACGAATGTGAAAATTAGCATTATTTTTACTTCCAAACAACTCTAGGTTTTTTATTTATTTATTTATTTATTTATTTGCTGTTTTGTTTTGTTTTTGGCAGCTGTTGACCCTGCAGGCTTTTCTGGGCCTTTTACAAATATGACAAATTTGTGTATCATAAATAAGCTCTGTTTATGTTTGGGCAAGAATACTAATACCCATAAAAATCTCATTTGGACTGTCTTCTTCTTTTTTTTTCCCCTTCCTCCAAACCCGTTTCTCCTTGCAGTGGACATCTGATGAAGAGATTATCTGCATTGCCCAAAGATTGAGCGTGAAGGACATCACAGAAATCAAATTTGCTGAGAATAAAGTTAATGGCCAGTCCAGAGGGTGAATAATAAAATCTCTATAAAAAAATTTACCTATCATTTTATTGTATTGTTTTTAAATATGTGTGCATGTCTTTTTTTTTCCTGTGTTACAGCTATGCAAAAGTGGACGTAAAATCAAAGGAGTCACTTAAAGTCTTATTGGAAAAAATACCACAATGTCACATAAATGGGGAATTGTTAGACTGTCGATTTGCCACTGTTGAGAACCTCAATATGTTTGAGGAAATTGCCAATAAACGTAAGATTTTTTTTTTCATTTTTTAATGATATAACTAACAATATAAATTTTTTAACTAGTTTTTCTTGTTTCCCCCTGCAGGTATGCCTTTACGTGCACCATCCGAATCCAACGAAACAAATTCTACAGAAAAGGTTCCCACGCCACCGTCAAAGGAATCCAATCCTCCTCCTATCCCTTCCCTTTTCCCACCACATCCACTTCCAAACAGCTTTCCTCCCGCTCCCAACCCCTTTCTTATTCATCCACCTCCACTGTTCCCAACTATGCCACCAGTAATCCCTCCCCTCATGCCACCACACATGTTTCCTCCACCTCCTGTCCAAGTACCTGGCCATCCGCCTCCCAATCTTCACATGAATCCTGCTTTCTTCAGCCCCACTCCAGATGGGCACAGCAGCAAATCATACATGCAGCAAACGTAAGAGAACCTTCTGGGTTTTTATCAAGTCGAAGTTGAATCATATTTGGCCAAAGTGCTGTTTAAAAAGTAAAAAAATAATAAAACAAAAGCAATGAAATTATCTCAAATGTCATGAAATATAAGATGAAACACAATCAGTATTTACAGTCATAATGTGTTATAAGATGCTTAAAACAGAAAAAAACAAAAAGATTTATTTTTGATCAGAGTTAAAATTGCTTTCTAAAATAATTGTGCTTCAGTATAACAAAGTTTTGTTACATTTTTAATTTTTTTTTAGAAAACCAACTCAAAATAAAAATGGAGATTTTGAGGAACTGATGAGCAGAAACAGAACTATTGCCAGCAATGCAATCACCAAGGCTGTGTCTGGGGCTACAACTGGTGAGTACAGCTGTTCAGATTTTACCATGAAAGAACCCAGGAACACACGAGTCAGATGGGAAAGGGATATTTCCTCACCCTATATGTGACCCATCGTATTGAAATGAGGATTAAGTCTAATTTGTTCAAAATGACATAATTATATTTTCAGATTCTTGGCTTTAAAAGCTACATTTTGATACCTGGATCATTCTGATATCTTAATTAAATCCATATAAATGACTTAATTTGTCTTGTTGGTTACAATAATACATAAATATTTGGTCTGAACCCTAATTTTATGTTATTTTAATGAGGAATTTTTGATGTCCTTGTAAAGAGGAAACCTCAAATTATATTTGAATATTGAGATTTCCCAGCTGGAAAGAAACAAAACTTTGCTAGCTCACAGGGAAAATCTCAAAAATTTAAGGCGTTTTTCCTCAAAATCAATTTTTTTGTTGCTACTGCTCAAAAAAGTGCTTTTAAATTTTCCTTTATGATTATATTTCAGACAGTTCATTCAAATGAGACATTGATAAGGCATTTATTCATTATATTATGACAAAATGCAATTTTTGTTAACATTTTAATCAGAACACTATTTGCCTATTTCTCCATATACCACTTTTAGACTTGATCCTCGTTTTGATGTGATGGCTCACATATATACAGTATATATAATATTTATAAATTATTTGTCTCTTGTTTTGCGTTACAAGAGATGCAAAATTCATGAGTCACAGTTTAGTAAAGTAATAAAATACGTGCATTTATTTATTTGTTTATTTACTGTTTTTTTACCAGGTGAGTCCCATTGAGATCTTAGGTCTCAGGACGTCATAATGAAATATGATGTCAAGTTTTGATGTTAAATTCTTAATAGTGTTTTTTTTTTAAATGCTTCAAGATGTAAGTGCACTGGAATACACACTTCATTAAGCTTAATCTTCAAGAATATTCAACTTCTTAAAGGGAAATTGATATGGTTTGATCAAATATTGATCTAAAAACTAAATACCACAACATAGTGTTTTATATTTTATTTATAATTTCTTGTTTTAAATAAGTTGTTTATTACACCTTGGACACATCATATAGCCAATGAAGTTTTTATGATGTTAAACTAAATCTACTACTATTCATCTACCTAAAACCAACTCCCAGCACTACCTTGCCTTTTTCTTTTCTATTGCAGGTGACACTCGTATGGCCATGGAAACATTATTAACAGCCATTGCCATCATTAAGCAGTCCAGAGTGTATGGAGATGATCGCTGCCAAGCTCTAGTCACCTCACTGGAAGACTGTTTAATTTCAATCAAGGGCAACGAAAGCTATGAGTATGTACCTTCACACACCACATTCTGGTTTTATTCTAACTGAAACTGAAATTCAGAGTTGAACAACCATTTGTTCTGTTGTCTGCTTTTTTTATTGAAAGCATTTTTTCTTTTCTTTGCAGGAGACGCAGCCGTTCCAGAGAAAGAGACCGGGACAGAAGTCGGGATAGAGACTACGAGCGCAACAGAGAGCGTGACCGAGCCTACGAGCGCGACAGAGAGCGCGACAGAGACCACGAGCGCAACAGAGACCACGAGCGAGACAGAGAGCGACCGAGAGAACGTTACAGGGACGACTTTCACGACCGGGAGAGTGCAGCAAAGTCTCGAAGACACAGAGAACATTCCTGGAAGGGAGACGGAGACAAGGAGCGCTCGCGAGAACAAGAGAGATACAGAGATCACAGAGACCGACACCGCTAACCTGGTAAGATCATCACTCATCGTTGTTTATATTTACACATATATGTATGTTCTGTGGTCATAAAATGGGGACATTTCTTTTGCTTGCTGATTGAGCTAATCTGGTATCACCAAACGTATGGTTAAATGCAAAAATCCAAGATGTGCTCGTCTGACCTTCACTAAAATAACACTTTAAGAACAATGGAAAATCAGAAGTACAGTTAGGTCTGTATCTATTTGGACACTGACGCAAAGTTTTTTTTTTATGTTTACTGAAACATATTCAAGTTATAGGTAAATAATGGATGTAGGCACATAAAGTCCAGACTTTCAGCTTTCATTTGAGGGTCTCCACAAAAAAAATGGAGTTTCAGCTCCTGAACATGTGCCCACCCTGCTTTTAAAGGGATCAAAAGTAATTAGACAATTGACTCAAAGGCTGTATTTCATAAACAGCTGTGGGCATTTTTTTCATTATGTCATTTAGGGCTGCCACAAACGATTATTTTTATAATCGATTAATCACCAATTATTTTTTTTTCAATTAGTCGACTAATCAAATCATACGTCAACTGAATATAAAACATACAGCTTATCGCTCCAGAATGCAGCTGCTATTATATAACCATCGTTAGATTTTAGCTATATGCTAACTAAAATAATTTCCGTGGAAGGCAAGTTCTGCCTTGCAGATATTGCATTGCACAGGTTTCTCTTTCATTTTCTTAAAATGATCCGACACTTTTGAGCTCTGTTGTCAGGTAGCCATGATACCAGAGCCTGTCTGTATAATGTCTTGTGACGTCCACYGCCTACCCCAGTTACCACTACTGTGCATGTGTGTCAAGGACAGAAAGGCAGATGTGGCAGTGGAAGGTGTCAAAGCAGTTTGGAGAGAAAAACAAAGTAAAGAACAAAAAAAAAAAACGATTAATCGATTATTAAATTAGTCATCGATTATTTTAATAATTGATAAGTCGTCGACTATTCGTGGCAGCCCTAAATTCTAAATTAAGTAGATAAAAGACCTGAAGTGGATTTGAGGCGTGCTGCTTGCATTTGGAAGATTTTGCTTTTAAAGAAAACATACGGTCAAGGGAGCTCTCCGTGCAGGCGAAACAAGCCATCCTTAATGAAAACAGAAAAAAAAATCCAAGAAATTGCTCCAATAAAAAGCACTGGTGAACTCATCAATGCAAAAAGACCTGGACGCCCACAGAAGACAACAGTGGTGGATGATCATAGAATAATTTCCATGGTGAAGAGGAACCTTTTCACAACAGCCAACCAAGTGAACAACACTCCAGGAGGTAGGTGCATCAATCCAGATCTACCACGGTGCAATCCACTCATAAGTCTCAAGAATAAAAAGACTAGACTGGACTTTGATTTAAAAAAATATCTACAAAAAGCCAGCACAGTTCTAGCTGAAGATTCTTTGGACAGATGAAACAAGATCGACATTACCAAAATGATGAAAAGATAAAAGCACAGCGAAGGCGTGGTACAGCTCATGATCCAAAGCATACCACAGCATCTGTAAAACAGTGGACGCAGTGTGGTAGCTTGGGCATGCACGGCTGCCCGTGGGACTGGGTCACTAGTGTTTATTGATGATGTGACACAGGACAGAAGCAGTTGAATGAGGTCAATTAGAGGTATACTGTGCACTCAAATCCAGCCTATTGTGGTTTTAAAAATGTTTTAGTTGATCACATTTTCTTGCAATCATTTTATTCAACCCGCTGAATTAAAGCTGAGAGTCTGAACTTCAACTGTATCTGAAATGTTTTCTTCAAAATTCATTGTACAGAACAAAAATCAGGAACATTTTGTCTCTGTCCAAATATGAAACTTACTATAAATAATAGCCACAATTTGTAACATTTAAACAAAATTTGAATGCAATGATTAGCAAATCTTATAAACCGGTTTTATTTTCAATAGATTGAATCAGATTGAACAGAACACTTGCTTTATTTATTTATTTTTGCTGAGTTTAAAAGCCTGCATATCTGATGGTATGAAGGTAGGTAAGTGCCTGTAAATTCGACATTTGCGCATCTGAAAAGGCACCAACAGTGCTGAAAGGTGTGTATGGGCTTTAGAGCAACATGCCTCCATTTAGATGCTGATATATTATTTAGGGAAGCTTTACACATTTTACCAAGACAATGCTAGACTACATAATGCATTTCATACAAGAACATGACTTTCTAGGTGCTGAGCTGATCCATCTGCTGTCTAGATGTTTCATCAGTCAAAACTTTCGCGTCATAAAATGAAAATACATTAAATTAAACTCAAGACTGTTAAGCATTGGTACATTTTATCATACAGGATACAGGAAATAAACAACATTCCTCTCCCAAATGTCACGCACTTCAGTTTACAAATATTTAGATTGTTAAAAATTGTGGATTCTATCCTCCTCCAGCTTTTTTAGAATTGTAGCTGCCATCACACTCAAAATGCGTAATCGATTTCAAAGTTTAAATGTTTGTTTTCTACTTTAAATGCAATCTGTTTTTGTACAATATGGATTCATCAGTTGCAAGGCAATATTCTGTTTAGTAATTCTGTTTGAGTGTTTTTTTAATTTTATTTGGATAACATGTTTTTTTTTTCTTCAGCACAAATTAGTGGCTATAATCATAACAGAACATTTGCTGATTTACTGTTAGGATGCCCGAGGTTGTGAAATTATAGCAGTTTGAGTTCAGAGAAAGAAATGGGTATTTTAAATAATTTACAGACATCCCTTGACCTATACAGTGTGTGTGTGTGTATATGTATGTAT